CCCCCCCCTCCTCTCAAGGACGCTATGCCTCCTTGTGTTCGGGAGGCTTACGCCTCTTGCGTTCTGAACTACGCCTCACGCCTCTAGGTAGTGGAACGCCTCGCAGTCACGCCTCCACGTTTTAAAACATTGCCTCAGATTTGGTAAGGTGTATACCTCATCTAGACATCACTAAAATTCTGAAAAAGAAATTAAAAATAAAAAATATATATTGGTATGTGATATTCCTTATTGTTCAAAAAGAATGTTTTTGGTTGGTTACGATTAAAAAATTATAATTTAAATTAAACAATCTCTCATAGTCGTAATATCTTTTTTAACCCATAACAATCTATAATTTGCTTTTCATTTACCAAATATAATAATCCTAATGTGACAGTCTATGTTATAATGTACCATATGTTAGAATACCATCTTCATTTATATATACACCCATTATAATTCAATGTCTTAAATATCTCATAATATCTATTTTTTTAATTACCAAACTTCCATTGTACAGATTTGCTGGCTTGCTGGAGCGAAAGCTCCCACACCCCTGACCAGGGGTAAATGCCCCTTAGAAGACCATAATAGAAAAATATGGTAAATGCACCCAGCCACATAAGACCATAATAGCAAAATACAATATTCTACACAGTAGTTATAAATGTAAAATAAAATATAAAATAATTTGTTTATGAAAGGCATAAATTGTATCCTGAAATGTATAAACACTATAAGTATATACTTAAATATATGTATTGTATATTGTATATACACACATTATTTCTGAAAGGAAATGAAGGCATCCTGAACTTAATCTACATTTTGATAACAGGCAAGCAAAAGAAAGCAAGTTAATCAGCAAACCTTGAAATAGTTCCCAACAGGAGAAACATAAATTAGAAAGGTGTATTCAGGAGCAGGCGCCAAACCAAGAACAGCTCCACTTCCCATGAGCAGTGGCCGGATATACAAGGAGCCTTTACCCGGAGGAGGAACCTGTAGCAAAGTATTCAAGCTTGTAAGATGACCAATGCAATACAAGTTGTGACGAATATCTTGAACTACCAAAAGAAATGGCAAGTTACCCAACGTTTATTTGCCAACACAGTCATCTTTGTGGCCTCCACAAACTGTTCAGTGGTTGGAGCAGGCATGCACATTCGCTCTGCACCCATCCTCATCCGTAATGCATTTTCATCCGGACGAAATAGTAAAATAGAACCATCTAGTTTCCTGTATGCTTTCAAACCTTCAAATAATCCCTAAAGGCAAATAAAAAACTAATACTCTTAGAGATTTCACTGAACTCTGAAGTAATGCTACTTGACGAAGCTAATATATGTAGTATTAACATAGATACAAAGTAAACATTGTGTGGATACCAAAGTTACTCAGGAAAAGCCACTAGAGGGTGTTGTTCCTGGTCAATACGTGGGCTTTGACATAGTTCAAAGGAACATCCATAAACACCACCCTGAGGAATCTTTTTGAGGTGTTACATTCATCCCCCTTAAACCCCCAGCCAAAGGGACCCTATTGTGTGGGTTGCTGAACAGATTTTTCTAGATTTTGATGGAAGTGCACATGGAAACCAAGGACCAGCAGGCATCAGAGGTGTTTTTACTGACCATAAAGGTCCAACTCAGGATTTCAGGGGGCCAATTGCTGACATTGATGCCTCTAAAGTTGGAGTGGTAGCCTTCCTCACAATTTCAAGAATTTCCATGCAAATAAGACTGCAGTCCTTGTTAGTTTTTGGAGATTTGACAAAAGCCATCATGTGGTCCAAAAAGAGCTGGGGTGGGTTCATGGAGATTGAAATATCACCTAAATGAGGTAAGAAATATCCTAAGTTCCCAACTAAGCTCCAGAGGAACACATTGATGATGAATCTGGTTGCTGATGGGCTAGCTTGGGCAAGGGTACAAAGGTTCTTTCTGTACAGCGACAGCTCTATTGTCCAACTTTTTATTTCAGGATGCAGCTGCCATAGTACATCTTGTATAATCCTCCAGAACACTTTCTCTTTTCAACTAATTAGATATTATAGTTACCTTCCTATAAAGTGGATTCTTATAAGATATGGCATCCCAACAATATTTTATCATAAGCACATAGCAATTGACATCCTAATAATCAGAAGCCATTGTTAGTAAAAATACATGACAGTCTGAAATCACCTACAGTAGAAGAAACAATGGAGAATTCTGACCTTCTCCATATCTACTTTACACAGCAAACCAGCCCTTCAACTTCTTTTCCTTGAATCGATTAGTTCATTAGCAATGAGAACCCCATCTACAATCAATTAGTTCAACTCAGGCCTTCTAATGTACTTGTCTCATGTCATAACCATAGTTGTCAAGGCGCCCTGAGGATCACCTTGTCCAAACATCTACATATTTATATATAAGACACCACATAATATTTTTATATTTTTATTTTGTGTTATAATAATTTTTTTTTGTTGATAAGCAACAAGGAATTTTATTAAATGATATAAATAGCAATATACAAAGAGTGACAATCCCTTTACACTTACAAGTACAAAAGAGCCCATGAGAGCATAGCCCCTGCTATCTCTCACCAATTACATTATAAAATTGTTGCATCACATCGTACCCAAAAAAAAACATGATTCCTGTTAACTCCTTGCTTTGCAACAAAATCAGCCAAGGAGTTTGCAGACCTCTATATTCATCTAATTTTCAATTGCATGTTTCTTTACAGCCATTTGAATTGTTTAATCTCATTCTTAAAGATCCAAAAATTTTCTCCTTATTCACAACCAACTTATCACCACCTTTGAGTCCCATTCAATGATTAGTTTCTCCCCTTTCGTATCAACAGCTTTTTGCACTCCATAATCCCTAAAGGTCCCTCCTATCCCTTAAGGCCCTTTCTTATTTTGATAAATACCTGAAGGCCCAGGGCCCCATATTCCCAAAACTGATGCCATCAAAATTACGTTTAACAAATGCCCTTTCTGGAACAACCCAATTTCTCATATATATCAAAAAAAAAAAAAAACAACCCAATTTCTCATCACCATTGCCTTCTTCATACTAGAGCACCCACTTTATCCCACTTCCTAATCACTTCAGCAAAAGAGAAATGTGAAAACAACTCCATAGTCTTCACCCAATTAACCACCTTGAACAGAATGCTCTGTATAATATTCTCTTACTCCTCTCCTTTCTTCAAATACTCTAGCATTCCTCCCCTCCCAAATAGTCCAAATCAAGGCAGCCTATGTACACTTCCACATTATTCACCCCCTTCTTTCAGAACATCTAAAAGTAGTTGGATGAAACGACCTGCCCATGAATGACAGAAAATTCCACCTACACTCAGAGAGAGAGAGAGAGAACCTTTCCTAAATGTGTAGGACAAATGGACAAGAGATTAGTTAGTGAAAGAAAAGACTTGATATAGTAGATATTAGTACACTAAATTGTTCATTTTGTGGGTTTATAGTTTGTTTTTATTATTTCATTCTTTATTTGTCTTCAATTGATACACAAGCAATGATATAGTCTTGAACCCTTTAAGACTTTAAAACCTGAACTGATAAGAAAGAATGAATTTGAAGAATGAAGATTTTATCCCCTCCAGGGGCTAAGATGGGCCAAGCAATTGGGTTTTCAACAGTTAGAAGTGGAGGGAGATTCAAATTTAGTAGTAGGTTGGCTGCAATTAGACCTGTTCATGGGCCGGGTGGCCCGACGGGCCGGGCCGGGCCGGGCTGGCCCCCGGACGGGCTTGAACAGGTATATGGGCCCGCGGGCTTGACCTCGGGCCAAAAAGCCCGGCCCGCAATAAATTCGAGCCGGGCTCAGGATTTGCCAAAATAGCCCGGCCCGAGCCCGGCCCGGCCCGATTTATAACTGAACCTAAGTAAAAACCCTAGTCCCTAGTTGAGTACCCTCTTTTTTTCTCCTCTTTGCCTCTTTCTCTTCTCTTTTCCAGCCGAACCCTTCTTCTCCAATCTCCACATCCTCCACAGTCCACACTCCACAGTTCTCAGGCAGCCACAACCGGCGAGGCGGCGAACGATCACCGGCGCAACAACTCCGGCGGCGGCGGTGAGCTCTCTTTCTCTCTCTCTCTCTCTCTCTCTCTCTCTTTCTCAGACACGAACTAATCATTGTCAAAATCACAGGTCAGGCTCGCAGCTCACAGACCACAGTCATCGATTCACTGCGAACTCTCCGACGAATACAATCACCGGCGGCGGCGGTGAGTCCTCTTTACCATTTTATTCTATTACAATATTTAGTGTTTACTGTTTACAATGTTTAGTGTTTACTCTTTACCATTTTATGCTATTGTTTGTCTTACTGTTTACAATGCTATTGTTCTATTACTGTTTACAAATTACAACAGAATTTGCGACAACAATAGAATCTTAACTATTTGCTCAAGATACAAGCATTAACAGGTGCTTCTTCCAAACAATTTTCACATAGTACCATCACTGACCATTCCAATTGTCACCTTCCACACTTGACACTTCCTCGTGTGGTGTATAAATATATACCGGATTAAATAACTTGTTGCCAACCGTCCAAGTATAAATGGTGAAGGTTGATCATTTCAATAAGTAATACACTATAACACTAATACGTAGACAAAACAACTTGATATAAGATAGAGAAACTCACTGTCAAGTGTCAAAGTGTCAAGCAACATCACCCACGATCAACATATATCATTTCTCACTGTGCAAACAACTAGCCATCCTTTATATTAGAATTAGAAGGTCTTCCAATGTTGAATTGCCGGTTGCCACTCCAGTTCTTTCAGCAGATCATCAATAGCCATTCGGTCTTGATGAATCAACGCCTCCTCCCACCAACTTTCTTTTCTTGCAAACCTTCACTTTATTTATTTAGAAGTTAGGACGAACGAGAAGAACTTCAGCAATGCAATTAATATCCAACTGTGCTATATGTTGTCACAACTTCTATTAGAACTCTGAGAGTTGGGAACTCGGGTTTCTCCAGTTTTGGATCCATTCATAATTTCATCTTTCCCATCATCTTTTGGGTCCAGATCTTGAGTGGTAGGAGAAGACAGCAACTCATGGTATGGTGCTGCTAACATGGMAAGTTACTCGATTAATMTGATGGAAATCATGATAGGAGGGTTTYCGGATACACAGGTGACAGGACAATTCAGTGGACAYYRGAAAGAGGGTTTGCATGTGGAACCCATTCTCACTCTGCCAAGGGTGCCTCTTTCCTTGTCAGTGGATAAAGTTTTCTGTAGATTTTCAGTGGGGTTTTGAAAGTAAGCCTACAGTTCTGTTTTCCAAATTTACTTACTGCTGAAAATAAGGCAATGGCGGCAAGATACGCTTGGAGATCATGCACGAGGTGGAAGTGTCTGAAGACATCATTGCGTCTAGTGTTTCATGTAGCTAAAGTTGGTCTGTTGGTGCTGCTTGAAGAATTGGTGGGTATTAGCATCAATCTAATCTTGATAGAGACTCTTTTGG